GTGTGTGTGTGTGTGTTGCACTCACATGTGCTCTTGTCCTGCATCTGGATCACACACTTGGCTCCTCGGTTTATCTCTCGGCTGTTGAAAGGCCGCACACGCACCGCCACCTTCACCGAGGACGACGCCATGATGACTGCTGGCCAACCTACTCAGCACCTGAATCACAAGTGAAGCAATGGTTAACTTACAAACGATATTCATGAACCACTTGTGAAATGCTGAGAAATAACACTCTATTCTTCAACAGTTTAATCCATTTATCGGAATGCAAAACTAAAGAATGCACTACAAATGAATACAGAAATTCAATAAACAGTACTGCGTTATGACCAAGAGGTCAAAGTTTTGCTGGTTGGCGTGACATTAGCCCATGCTGTTAGATGCTGTAAGTACAAAAAGCATTTATCGCCATTGAAGGTCATTCAAACTTAGCCAAATATTCAGACTAAATACATACCATTACGTGCTTTAAACTCAGTTTTCTATTGTAAAACAAACTTTTTGCTCACTCTAAACACAGTTCTCTACATTACACACATCATTCAAAACTGACAGCTCTTTTATTTCATTTGGGAAACACTGTCATTTAAACACCACACTCATTTACTGATGACCTACAGCCAGTGATCATGTGTGAAAACACTATTTTTATTATGTTTTTTAACTATTTTTACCCCCTTGCATTTCTGTTAACAGTGTACATATAGGTGATTATAAACTATGTGTGTTTATACTGTATGTGTGTGAGTGTGTGTGTGTGTGTGTACAGTGGGTATAGCAAAGCATCAGCCCCCTTTAAAATAATCACATTTTGTTGCTTTGCAGCCTGAAATGAAGATGGACACAGTTTTTGTTTTATCCAGCTGTATTTACTCAGTGCAACTTATAACATCCAAGTCAAAGATATTCAGATAAACCACCAACATGTCATAAAAAAACAAACAAACAAAACAGAACAACTGAGTTGGAAAAAGGATCACCCCCTTGTGTCTGTATTTTGTTGAAGCACCTTTTGCTTTAATTACAACCTTTAGTCTGTTGGGATTTGTCTCTACTAACTTTGCACATCTAGACTTATTTGTCCTAGACATGTGCCGGTATTCGGTAATGCGATATATCATGATAATGAACATGCACTTTAAAATAGCGTGAATAATTCCTTATTTACTTGTTCTATATATATATATATATATATATATTTTTATTTTTTTATTTTTTATCTGTGTTTTTGTTCTGTCACTGTCATTCTGTTGCACTGTGGAAGCTTCTGTCACGAAAACAAATTCCTCGTATGTGTAAACATACCTGCCAATAAAGCTCATTCTGATTCTGATTCTGATAATTATTACAAATTAGTCAGATTTTTTGAATGCATTTTAAGAATACTTTTCCCATCAACTGGTCACAATGCAAAACACCGCTGCGCACTCTCATGTAAACAAGCACGGATGAGAAGCACCTGATGTGCTGAATGAAAGCGCATATTCTCTCTCTGACAGCAGGTGGCGCTGCACAGCAGAAATGCAGCTATTACCCCGGAAACAAAGCAGCTGTGCTGAAAACTATTTAAATTATTTAAACAGCCATTCAGATTTGTGTATTCGCTATGGTGCTCATCACAGCACCAAATACTTACATATTTAGACTAATTAATAGGCTATTTATTTTCAAACTTTTTTACATTTTAATCTGGACTACAACAATGCTTGGATTCTGTATTGTTCGGTCACACTTTACATTAAGGCCCCATTAGTTAACATTAGTTCATTTATTAGTAGAACATAAACTGGCAATGAAAAATTATTCTAAACATTCATTAATCTTAGTTAATTTCAATATTTAATAACACGTCGTTAAAATCAAAAGTTGCTACTGTGTTATTTAATGAACTCGAGCTAACATGAACTAACATGTAGCTATTGCTCATTGTTAATGTTAGTGCATTAACTAAGGTTAACTAATGAGATTCTATTGTAAATTGTTACCAATTGGTCTTTATAGTTCTTTTGCACTTTAATCTGTGTGAAATTATTTACTTTATAAATTTTTTGTGTATTGCTTTATTGTATTTAAATGTTCAGTTTCTTTTTGTTATAAGAAAAAAGTTATTAAACCTGTTATACTTTACGACAACACTTTTTTGCAACTAAATTTCAATATCGTGATCGTGAAAATTTGATACCGTCACATGCCTAATTTGCCCACTCTTCTTTACAGAACTGCTCAAGTTCAGTTCAATTTTATGGTGAGCGTTTGTAGACTGCAGTCTTCAAGTCATTCCACTGATTTTAATGGAGTTTAAGTCTGGACTCGGTCTAGGCCATGCAGGGACATTTACCTTTTTCTCCTTCAACCACTATGTGCTCAGTTCTGCTGTGTGCTTTGGGTCATTGTCATGTTGGAAGGTAAACCTTCTTCCCATTGACAACTTTCTGGCAGAGGGCAGCAGATTTTCCTCAAGAACTTGGAAGAGAAAACATCATGGAAATAGTCCATGTTACTTCAGTTGTCCAACTGTAATTTTCTGAAGCGATGGGAATGCTTTTTGTGCGCTGTACTGTTTGCAAGCAGAGGCACGCTGTCACTATTACAGTATTTTTACAGTAGCATTCCTCTTTCTCTACCTTTCTGGGCCTTTGAACTGAAAGTTGTTTAGGCTGTCAATGGAGGGACAGAAACCTATCAGAAAATATCTTCAATTGTGTTCCGAGGTTGAGCGAAAGTCTTAGGGGATCCGAACAATATGAGGGTGAGTAATTAATGACAGAAATTTCATTTTTGGGTGAACTATCCCTTTAAAGGCACAATATGTAATTTTCGCCGCTGGCTATTCAAAATAAACAAAGAGGCAAAGGCATAGTTTGATGACGGCGTGACTGAGTGTGGAATCATGGGAGTTGTGGTCTTCATCCCCGCAGCCGATGCAATCCGATGGGACTCGGGCAGAAATCATGTTCATGGATGAGCTAATGATTTATTAACGTAGTAGAATGAAGCAGGGTGAGGCTGAAAGCCGTCGAAGCGAAACGAGGCCGCTGAACGAGCGTGACACACGGCTCGAAAGCAGCGGAGCTTTTATTATGCCACAGTCGATAAAACTGCTTATTTCTCTGGATTTAAACATTCTTCGCAACATTTGGGATAGTGTAAGTACACAAGTCAGCAAAATATATAACACTGTTCTAGTGGTTTTTGGATATTTTTATTAAAAAATCTTACATATTGTGCCTTTAATTGGGATTATTGCAAATATTAAACCAAACGAAAGCACTATCCACTTTTATCATCACATTATGGAAGTCCTCTGCATTCTCACATTATTTCCCTATTCCCTTGCACTCCGTGTGTCATCACTAGTTCCCGACCGGTGGACAACAAGGTGCAGGTGAGAATCTGGCCTGCAGCCAACGAGCCGTGTACACTTGTCAGCTGAAGAGAAATCTCAGAGACGCACACGACGGGAACTACCTCAGGACATTATTACCACCTTTAACTACAACAAAAACATGGAACACCCACTGTTGCTATAATAGAAGATAATTACTGCAGCAAAACGCATGAAACAAGCAAACAACTGGGGAAAACAATACTTATTCTGCGAATTCCACCACATAAAGACCATTCACACATGCTACTGTTATTGTACCATCATATCAGCCCAGTCAACACACTGCCAACCAGCGAAAATGAGGGATTATACAGCCTACAGACTAATTAATACAGCAGAACTCACTGTACATTTAAAAAACTCATTTATTTATATAGCACTTTATATAATAATACAGATTATTTCAAAGCAGCTTCACAGTAATACACAGGAAAATAACAGTGTTAATGTTGCAAAGTCCATCAATTATGAAACAACTTTAGTTTCAGTTGTAAAGCAGCTCTACAGAAGACAATAGTGTCATTATTCATCTCAACTCAAGTTCAAGTTCAAGTGTTAGTGTTGTTATCTAGTGTCAGTACAGTCAGATGGATAATACAGTATTTTTTTAACATAACCTGTTTTTTAAGCTCCAGTAGGCAAATTATTTTGGGGGGAATTTCATAGCGGAGACTCCACTGACTTTTTATTTCAATAGAGTTTGATGTGTGATACTCTAACAAATCACACACACAAGAACTGGGGAAAATCTATTTGTAAGTACACCAAGCATTTTTATTGATACTTTTCGGTACTGAATTACATATTTTTGCCTTTATCTGTAAAAATAGTTATTATTGTTGAAACATTGAGACAGTTGCATTTTTTTTTTCTGACTTTTTGCACTGTGGTGCTACAAAAGCAGGATTAGAATTAGTACAAATACACAATAAGCGCATGATTTTTTTGCCCAAACCAGTTAAGTACAAACGCTGCCTCGCCGTCGATTTATTGGTCATCTCAATCACAGTGCGGACTGAATACACAACACTGAAACCAATACTAACTTCTAACTTCAGCATTGGTAGTAGGGCTGAAACAATTAGTCGACATTATCGACAACGTCGACAATAAAAAATTGTCGCCAAATATTTTTGTTGTCGAGTAGTCATTTGGTCTCATATGACCTAATGTAAGAGCCTGCAATAACGCGGTTTGACCAGTGTGGTGCTGTAGCGCAAGACTGTAATTCAGCTCTCCCAGATGCAGTTCAACAGAAGAAGACACAGCGCTTCAGTTCAGAGCAAATGCAGTCGTACCTGAAGCTGCTGCTTGGCGTTTGGATGAATATGTAAATATATGCTGCGTGCTTTCCTCTCAATAATGAAATAAACACAACAGAAACAGACCACGGTGAGAAAGCAGCAGTTAAGAAAGCATCTGATTACAGCGATGTGGATATTTGCAGGAGCTCTGCAGTTCGGTACTCCAGTAAAGTCCAGTCACGTCACGTTTAATTATATAGTACTTTATGCATTAGATAGCCTTAAATCAAGCAGCGTTACCGTATAAAACATGAAAAACCAGAGTCAGTGTCGCTTTCAGTTAGAATTACAACTTGATTTTCTGTTATAAAGCAGCTCTCCAGTGTGGAGCTATCTAATGATAAAATATATTTATTAGTGGGGAAAAAATGTTAAATCGTTAAAGTGATAGTTTGGTTTGCAGAGATCAAAGCTTGATCTAGCTCAGGGCTGTTTTGATTATCATAACCCTATAAGGTAT